CAGCAATGACCACTGGTGTACTTACGAACATGTGATTTCTGAAAACTTTATTGCTACTTGTGTAGGTTTTCCACAATTTCTTGCAATTTGCAGTGCGATTCCATTATATTCTGTGTATGTGAAATCACAACAAAACTGCAGAAAATGTAATGCAAGAACTACTTTAGAAATTGCGCTGCAGCAATTCGCAAATGTTAAGACACTGACATTCACATACATTAGATGGGATTTCAGGTACGATTTCAACTCCCAAATTGCACCTAAAATCACAACTGTATGACCGGGCACTAAACCCACAGAAAACGTACTCATCATTTTTAACCCCCTTACTGGGATAATGTTACTTTAAAATAGATACATTTTCTATCACATCTGGCTAAAATCATGCCATTCAAATGAATTGAATACTCTTTAAATCTAAATCCTTAGACAGACTTAAAGGATAACTTCACCTTTTGACAAAAAATAAATGCGCAGGTAAAAAAAAAAAAATGTGCATTTATTATTTTTTGTTGCCGGAGCCTGTAAAGCATTGCACCAGCAATCAGCGGGTTGTTGGTTCCTTGCAGGCCTACTGTAGACCTGTTAGTATATTTTCTTGCCCTTATGGGCAAGCAGATATACTGACAATCAATAAACTACCAGGTGCTCCACAGCGCTGTGGTAGTTCATTGAGAACTATCAGCCGCTAAGCATGTCAGGACTTGTAGTTCATTCACAGAACTGTGTGAATGAATGACACGGCCATGTAGGCGGATCGCTGTTTTTAAAAAGTGACAGCTAGTACGAGGAGCTTCTCTCTGTACTTCTGTCCAGGGAGGGGGCGGATCGCGTATTGGCTGCAGCACTAGGAACTTGTTAGATGTTCCACCCTAAAAATGAGTGTAACATGTTCCCAAGGGTGAACTTATCCTTTAATAAAATAATCTCATTGCAGCTTTCTATCCTGTTAGAGCGGTGACTTGCCTTTGCACTATACAGCCATGGCCAAAAGTTTTGAAAATGGCACAAATATTAATTTTCACGAAGTCTGCTGCTTCAGTGGTTTTAGATCTTTTTGTCATATGTTACTATGGTATACTAAAGTATAAGTACAATCATTTCATGAATGTTAAAGGATTTTATTGACCATTACATTTAAGTTTATTCAAAAAGTCAATATTTGCAGTGTTGACCCTTCTTTTTCAAGTCCTCTGCAATTTGCCCTGGCATGCTGTCAATCAACTTCTGTGCCACATCCTGACTGATGGCAGCCCATTATTGCATAGTCAATGCTTGGAGTTTGTCAGTATGTTTGTGTTTTTTTTTTTTGTTCACCTGCCTCTTAAGGATTGACCAAACAAGTTCTCAATGGGATTAACCGCCTCCCACCCACCATATAGTACAATGACAGACGCAAGGTGGTTCTCTCGTTCTGGGAGGACGTCCCATGACGTCCTCCCATTCTAACCGTGCATGCGCGGCTCCCGGAGCGCACAGCATGGCGATCGGCAGTGCACTGTGTCCCTCAGACACAGCGGATCACTGATCCACGGAAAGAGCCAAAGATGTCGGCTCGGTCATGTGATCAGCTGTGTCCAATCACAGCTGATCACATGTAAACAGGGAAATGCCGGTTATTGGCATTTCTCTCCCCACGAGCTGTCACGCTGACAGCTCGTGAGGTGAGGAGAGCCGGTAATCGACACTCCCCGGAGGGAACATGTACACAGATCATCAGAGCACTGATCACCTATCCGTGTCCATCAGTGCCAGCTCTCAGTGCTCATCCATGCCACCTGCCAGTGCCCATCAGTGCCACATTTCAGTGCCATATCAATGCCACATATCAGTGCCCATCTGAGCTGCCTTTCAGTGTCACCCATCAGAGCCAGTCAGTGTTGCCTGTCAGTGCCACCTATCAGTGCTGCCTATCAGTGCCGCCGATCGGTGCCAGTCAGTGCCATATGAGTGCTGCTTTTCAGTGCCCATCGGTGTTGCCTGTCAATGCCCATCAGTGCCACCTACCAATGCCTCCTCATCAGTGTCCATCAGTGCAGCCGATCAGTGCCCATCAGTTCAGCCTCATTAGCACACATCAGTGATGGAGAAAAAATCACTTATTTACAAAATTTTATAACAAAATCTAAGAAAAAACTTTTTTTCCCCAAAATTTTCAGTGGTTTTTGGTTTAAGAAAAAATAAAAAACCCAGAGGTTATTAAATACCACCAAAATAAAGCTCTATCTGTCACAAAAAATTTAAAATTTCATATGGGTACAGTGTTGCATGACCGCGCAATTGTCATTCAAAGTGCAACAGCACTGAAAGCTGGAAATTGGCCTGGGCAGGAAGGGGGTATAAGTGCCCTGTAGGCTAGTGGTTAAAGTCTGGGGAGTTTCCTGGCCATGAACTAAAAATGTAAATATTTTGGTCCCCAAGCCACTTTTCCCTTATGGTAAGGTGCTCCATCATGCTGGAAAAAGGCATTATTCATCACCAAACTGTTCTTTGATGGTTGGGAGAAGTTGCTCTCGGAGGATGTTTTTATACCATACTTTATTTTTAGATGTGTTCTTAGGCAAAATTGTGAGTGAGTCCACTCCCTTGGCTGAGAAGCAACCCCACACATGAATGATCTCGGGATGCTTTACTGCTGCCATTCCTGAGCAAGCTCTGCACTGGTGGTGCCACAATCCCCCAGCTGAATAAACTTTAGGATACAGTCCTGGTGCTTGCTGGACTTTCTTTGGCACCCTGAAGCCTTCTTCACAACAATTGAACCTCTCTCCTTGACGTTTTTGATGATCTGATAAATGGTTGGGTGCAATCTTAGTAGCAGCAATATCCTTGCCTGTGAATCCTTTTTTGTGCAAAGCAATGTTGACTGCAGTGTTTCCTATCAGGTAACCATGGTTAACAGAGGAAGAACAATGATAAAAGCACCACCCTCCTGATCAAAGCTTCCAGTCTGTTGTTCTTAATCGGCATCACAGAGTGATCTCCAGCCTTGTCCTTGTCAACACTGACACCTGTGTTAAGGAGAGAATTACTGACATGTCAGCTGGTCCTCTTGTGGAAGGGCTGAAATGCAGTGGAAATAGTGGGTTTTTTTTTTTTTGGGGAATAGGTTCATTTTCATGGCAAACAGGGACTTTGCAATTCATCTGATTACGCTTTATAACATTCTGGAGTATATGCAAATTGCCATCATAAAAACTGGGGCAGCAGACTTTGTGAAAAATTAATATTTGTGTCGTTCTCAAAACGCTTGGCCAGAGCTGTAGAAGAGGAGAGCACACACCAGCCTCCGCTGCCTCATGCAGGAACCAGTAGCCCACCCAAATTCTCTGGGCTACAATAACTCACTTAGTCCATGATCTGTACAGAGGTCTTCCAACAGCAATAAAGCTCTTTAGTTTCCTTTCATATTCAAAACATAGCAGCAGCATAGAATTAAAACGCTCACGAAATTACATGATGGTAACTCTTCAAGATACAGCGGCTCTTTTCAGTACCCTGCTATGTTTTGAACGTGAAATGTTTTGTAGGTGCATGGCATATCTCTTAAACATGCACCATTAGGAGATATTCACTACCTCTGCAGCCGGTGAAGTCACTGGCGAATGTGCACTACGCTTGGCCATTCCTTCAGAACATTGTGCTGCGATCGTGGCTCCCATGGGCATGCCGGGGAGTGATGTCATCACAGCCATTTAAGCCATTCATTGGCTACGTTTTTAAGTTAAGTCTGTCATAATTTTCTAATATGCGATTCATACATGCGCATTAGAACATTAGTTTATTAACTTGCAGGAGAAAAGTTGTTTTGTGTGTTTTTTTTCTTTTTGTTTTGTTTTATTTTTTACTTTACTACCCCTTTTTAACCACTTGCCCTCCTGCGGATTTACCCCCCTTCCTGACCAGGCCATTTTTTTCGCTACGGCACTGCATTACTTTAACTGAAAATTGCGTGGTCATGCAACGCTTCACCCAAATAAAATGTACGCTGTTTTGTTCCCACGAATTGAGCTTTCGGTGGTATTTGATCACCTATGCAGGTTTTTATTGTTTGCGCTATAAGCAAAAAAAGACTGACAATTTTGAGAAAAAAAAAAACAATATTTTTGCTATTAAACATGTTCAGTAAAAAAATTTAAAAAAAAAATCAAATTTTGTCATAAATTTAGGCAAAATGTATTCTGCTACATGCTAAAAAAAAAAATCACAATACATATAAATTATTTGGTTTGCATAAAAGTTAGTGTTTACAAATGGCGGTATAGATACTGAGATTTTTTTTTTCTTAATACTATTGGTGATTAGAGACTTTTAGCTGGACTGCGGCAGACATTCTGACACTGGGGAGGAACGAACTTGGTGTCACTGACATCCCCAGTGACACCAATACAGTGATCAGTGCTAAAAAAAAGCACTCACACTGTGTTAATGGCACTGGGCAGGAAGGGGTCAATGTGAGGGGTGATCAAAGGGTTAACTATTTGCTGGGAGTTTTTTACTGGGGGGCGGAGGTGTGTGCTTTACTGTAAGCACACTGATTGGCATGGCTGTGCACAGCCATCCCGAGCAGTGTGCTCTAGCTGACAGGGAAGAAGACTGTAAACAAACAGTCTTCCTCCTCGTTGGTGATTGCCGATAATCACCTGGCAGCGGCGGGTAATTACCGTCCGGGACCTGGTGATTGACATCCCCAGCCATGAATGGCAGCGCGGGTAGGACACGCGCATGCGTGCCTCCTACCCGTAAATGCAAAATCATGTGTATGTATACGTGTTTTTGCGCACAGGTGCCGCCCTGTGGCAGTATATCTGCTATAGGGCAGTCCTTAAGCGGTTAAAGGGCTGTATTGCTATTGAAGGCCTCTGTGCAGATTGCTTTATTGGAAAGTGAGTTGAAACCTTTCAATTGCTGAGTATGAAATTAATTTTGTTGATGAAGATTGTTTGTTTTACTTTTGTACTTCTACTTAAACATGCCAGTTTCTGCTTTTCTCTCTCTAGATTCGCTTTGATAGTGTCGGAGGTCTGAGCCAGCACATATATGCATTGAAAGAAATGGTGGTTTTCCCATTGTTGTATCCAGAGATCTTTGAGAAGTTCAAGATCCAACCACCCAGGTCAGTGCACTTAGCCATACATTGAGTTCACAGAGTTGAAAAGAGCACTTTGGTATGTCCAGCCAGAACATATATTCCTTTTTTGGAATGAGTGTTAAAAGATTAGAACTTTTTTTCAGCTCTTTACTGCTATCTGCGGCTGCTTGAGAGAGCTACCCACCCCCTATCTTGGTGACAATTTTATCTAACTGAAAGTGAGTGAAAATCCTCCACCTGCAACACTCCAAATATAAAAAAATGATTTTAAGTAGTGTAGATTAGGGGAAGTGCTAGACCCTTTATTGCTGTGTGTGACTCTATTGCTGATTCTTTCACTTCCTGCATTATAAAACTGTTGTCATTGCGACAGTAAGTGAAGCAATATCTTTTAACCACTTCATGTACTGTGGGTTGGCAGCACACAGCGACACATCAGTTTGCGACTCCCGATACCTGGCTGCGTTGATCAACTAGGGGAGCATTTGTAAATGCTAGAACGTTCACACGTGCCAATTAATTTATGCTTATTGGGACTTGCAGAATACATTTTGGCCTAAATTTATGAAGAAAATAGATTTTATTTTCTGGATATGTTTTAGAACAGCAAGTAGGAAATAACTTTTTTTTTTTTTTTTTTCCCTTCAAAATATTCGATTTATTTTTTTTTTTTTAGCAAAAAATTAACCATTGGTGATCAAATAACACCAAAAGAACGTTCTGTTTATGTGGGAAGGAATGACAAATTTTATTTGCGTACAGTGTTTCATGAACACACAAAAATAAGCGCAGTGCTAAATAGCAAAAAATTACCTGGTCATGAAGGTAGTAAAACCTTCCGGGATGGGGGGTGGTATTTGTAAATACAGGCACAAGATCTAGCTGGTTCTTCTCTCCTTAGAACCATTTTGTTCCTGAGAGAGAAGAAAGACATCTCACAGGAGTAAAAGCAGCACACTGCACCCACACACGTTAGAGACATTTTAACCCCTTGTTTGCCACATTTAACCATTTGATTGCCACCCTGCCAGTGCTATTAGTACAGTGTCATTGTAAAGTATTTTTCACAGACCACTGCATTAGTGTCATTAGCGACGTTGGATAGCGTCAGGGTCAGTTAGCGTCCCTCCCAGCTAGGGTCAGCTAGCTTTAGATTGCCCGCACACTATTGCACTCACGCTATAGGTTGCTGATTACTGTCATTACTAGTATAGTATTTGTACGGATCAATATGTTGATCACAAACAAAACTATACCAGTGCCCACTTAGTATTAGTGTCCCCAAAAACGCAGTGTTAGCAGGATCTTTACCGTTCGCTGCCAGCACTAGCGTTTGGCCCCAACACTCCCCCCCCCCCACACCCCTAACAAGAAGTACAGTGTCAGTATAATTTCTGATCACTGTCATCTGTAATACATTGCTCACAAAACTGCAGTGTTCACAGAATCGGGCCTGATCTCTGTTAGCACTTGCCGGTAAATTTCTTTTGTAGCGGTTTAAGCAGTCCCTGTCAGCCAGGTGCTTTTTTCCTGTGAGTCGCACTAGGTACCTGTATATGTAGAGTCTAAAATGTCCAACGAAAGGTACACTAGTGAAGAGGCCTTCAGGATTCTGAGCATATCAGGTGAGAGCGATGGGGAAGACTCCCTGGCAGGTTGCTTGGACGATGGAGAAGAGGTCCCTGTTCAGCTTCATGCGGTCGGGAACGCCTGATCTTAAGTGCTAGGATCGCATGACTTGTCTCATATGTAGCAGAGTGCCAGTACTAGTGCTGCACTACCTTTTGGTGAACTGGCGAGCACCAGTATCATTTGGTGACGTGGCGAGTCTCATAAGTTCAGTATAAGCTGGTACGGTGGCGAGCACAAGTAGTGTCCCGCAGCCACCAAGAATTTGCACACAGGGCTGTAGAGCCCCTAGTGTCCTTCCGGACGTGCTTGCAAATCCTGATTGGCAGCCCACAGATTCTGCAGCACCTGTACCCCCTCCCCCCCATTCACTGCCCAACCCGGAATTCAAGTGGAAACAGCAACTTTAACTCCCCATGATTTTATGGAGCTGCTTTTCACAGAAGATTTGTACAATTTGATTTTGGGCCAAATCAATTTATATGCTCAACAATATATTGCTGCAAACCCAAATTCAAACCTTGCCAGACCATTCGCATGGAAACCCATTATGGTTTCCGAATTTAAAACTTTTTTTTGGGCCTAACCCTCAACATGGGCATTACAAAAAAGAATGAGTTGTGCTCATATTGGTCCACAGACCCGATTCATCATATACCTGTGTTCTCTGCTGCCATGACCAGGCATATATATGAGGCGATAATGTGCTTCATGTATTTCAGTGATTACACAACTCTCATCCTTGGGGTGATCCTGAATATGACAGGCTGTACAAAATTCGGCCCCTCATAAACCGCCTCACTGAGAAATTTGCAGATGTGTATACACCCCAGCAAATCCTCTGCATGGATGAGTCCCTCATTCACTGTACTGGCCGCCTTGCATTCTAACAGTACATCCCCAGCAAACGTGCCAGATATGCAATCAAATTGTATAAGCTTTGTGAGAGGGCCACAGGCTACAAATTTAGGGTTTTAGGGAAGAGACAGCGAAGTAGAGCCACCCGACTGCCCAGACTACATGGGGAGCAGTGGCAAGATAGTTTGGGACTTGGTGTCGTGTTTGTTCCTTTACGGGTACCACTTATACAAGCGTGCCACTATTTAGACATTTGTACAATCTTGGAATTGGCTCATGTGGCACCGGGCGGCCTAATCACCAGGGCTTCCCCCTACAGCTTGTAAATACCAACTTAGAAAGGGGGTGAAAGCCTGCTTGAGGAATGATGAATTGCTTGCAGTGAAGTGGAAGGACAAACTGTATGTTTTCGTCCTGTCTTCCATTCACGCAGACATGAAATTAACACGGTATCTGGCGTTGTTGAGAAACCCCTCTGTGTACACGCCTATAACCTTAACATGGGAGAGGTGGACTTCAACAACCAAATGATGAATCCGTACCTAGTTTCCTGGAAAGTTCGACACTGGTACAAAAAGGTGTCTATTTATTTCAATTGGCTATATATTTATTTCTGGTACTTATATAGCGCCATCAATTTACGCAGTGCTTTACATATATATTGTACATTCACATCAGTTCCTAACCCTCAAGGGGCGTACAATCTAAGGTCCCTAACTCACATTCATATACAAGGGCCAATTTATTTTGGCATTTCAGGGCCTCCGAAACTGTGATAGGTAGTGAGGAAGTGAAATGAAGTTACGCACCTTCAGGCTTTCAAAGTGGTCATTGGCTTCCAGGCTCCTGTATGTGGCTAGGCTCCCAAAAAGTCTCACACGTGGTATCGCCATACTCAGTAGAAGTAGCAGAATGTATTTTGGGGTGTAATTCCACATATACCCATGGCTTGTGTGAGCAAATATATCATTTAAGTGACAACTTTGTGTAAAAAAAAAAAAAAAAAATGCTTGTCATTTTCCAAAGACTTATGGGAAAAAAAAAAAATCTTCCATGGACTCAGTGGGGTTTATTTACTAAAGCTGGAGAGTCCAAAATCAGACTCCCTTCTGCATAGAAACCAATCAGCTTCTAACCTCAGCTTGTTCAATGAAGATTTGGCAATGAAACCTGGAAGCTGATTGGTTTCTATGCAGAAGGGAGTCTGATTTTGGACTCTCCAGCTTTAGTAAATAAACCCCAGTATGTCTCTCAGCATATAGCTTAGGGGGTGTCTACTTTCCGAAAAGGGGTAATTTGGGGGTGTTTGTACTGTCCTGGTATTTTAGCACCTCAAGAAATGTGATGGGCAGTCAGAAAGTAAAAGCTGTGTAAATTCCATTATCTATACCATAGTTTGTAGATGCTATAACTTTCACACTAAGCAATCTATTTGAAAGCTCTATTTGTGTGGAAAAAGGACATAAATTTCATTTATGTACAGTATTGCATGACCATGCAACTGTGAAACTAGTGCAGCGCTGTATTGCAAAAAATATCTATATCATAGTTTGTAGACGCTATAACTTTCACACAAAGCAATCAATATACACTTATTGGGATTTTTTTTTTTTTTTTTACTAAAGACATGTAGCAGAATACATTTTGGCCTAAATTTATGACTAACTTTGAGTTTACTATATATTTTTTATAGCTGAAAGTAAAAAAAATTTTTTTTTTTTTTCAAAATTGTCTTTTTGTTTATAGCGCAAAAAATAAAAAGCCCACAGGTGAGCAAATACCACCGAAAGAAATCTCTATTTGTGTAAAAAAAAGGACATACATTTTGTTTGGGTACAGCATTGCATGACCGCGCAATTACCAGTTGAAATAGTGGAGCGCTGTATAGCAAAAAGAAGCCTGGTCAGAAACGGGGGTAAATCCTTAGGAGGGCAAGTGGTTAAAATAATAAACATGTTATACTTACCTGCTGTGTGCAGTGATGTTGCACAGGGCAGCCGCAAACATCCTCTTTTGGGTCCCTCGCCAGCGCTCTTGGCTTCTCTTATCTGTGCGTCCCCCATAGGAAGCCGCTTCTTATGATGGCAAACCTGTGGGCTTGTTTCCAAGCCGGGATATGTGCATCCATAGATGCATACCTCATGGCTCAGCCCCGCCTCCCCACATTGACATCACAGGATTTGATTGACTGAACCAAGCAGCAAGCTGCTGCCGCTATGTCCTGCGAGTAAAGAGAGAGGGAAAGAGTGCCGTTACAGACCGACACAACGCTGGATTGAAATAGGACTTGGGTAAGTATTTAGGGTGATGAGGGGATGATACAGATGCTGAGACATTGTTTACCTTAATGCAGGTAATGCATTAGGTAAAAATGTATTGCCTTTATAACCACTTTCAAGTATTACCTATTGATCATTTTGACTACCATATCATTTTGCATGCATGCAGTTTTGAAGCTTGGCATATTTACTGTCTATTTACTTAATGCTGCCTCTTTTTTTTTGTATGAAAAATGGGCAATAAATTGTTTGTACACC